CTTAACCACTAGGCTAAGGAGCTAGCCTAACACCCCTGCTTTATAACAGCATATACCACTGATACCCTCCCAGGACTTCAGTTGGTTTCTCCTGCAAAGATAACCTCAGGAGTCACTTTAAGAGTCAACAGAGGCGGGATGAGCACTTGGCATGATGGTTAAGGTACGGGACTCCCACATGGCTGATTGTGGTTTGAGTACTGGACCTGGTGGCTTGCTTTCTCACTCCCCCACCCCTCTGGTCAAATGAAAAAATAATAAATAAATAAATAAATAAATAAATCTATCTATCTTAAAAAAAAAAAAGTTAGTAAGGGTCAGTAGGTGGCATGGTGTTTAAGGTGCTGGATTCTGACATGGCCAACTGCAGCTCAAATCCTGGACCTGGAGGCTGGAAAATCATGGCAAATACATGTGCATCCATGCTCAAAATCCCAGGAAGAAATAGAGGACAGGGGATTGTGGCATGGCCATCCCTGCCATCTCCAACCCCCAGGGGGAGATGTGATTTCTCACTTTCCTTTTCTCTGTCTCTCTCCAGCAAATACGCGTACCCTGTGGCAAAAACCTAAAAAAAAAAAAAATAAGAAAAGAGGAGTCAACACTAGTTAACTCCAGTCACAGTGATATGTGCTCACTACTGCTGCTCTGCAAGCTGAGGCCACATAAAAAGCCCAGGTTTTGTTCCCAGGCCACATTAAAAGGCTGGACACCATGGCATACAACTACAGTCCCAGCAGTCATGAGGCTAAGGCAGGAAGACCAAGATACTGCAAGACCCTATCTCAAAAGCTAAAAGAAAAATCACCTGTACCCCATTTCTACCCCAACACAAATCAGCAGAAGCAATCTCATTTTCCTGCTCACTTTAGAATAATCAATGAGAATGAACTAGTTAACACTGGATTCCACAGATGGAGATAATACCCAAACTTTAACAAAGAGCTAGAAAAAATGACAAGAACTGTGTTATGCCTTTCACTCAAGATTTCTTAATCCTGCAGGTGTCCAATCAAGCAAGGTAAGCCATCAGTGTTGAAAGTCATGGCACTTCCCTTCGGTTATGCAGCAGAGTCCTCACTGTCCCTGTCCTTGTAGAACAGCTCTCCCCTGTACATGACATGCAACCCAAGAGGATCTTGAACTTCATCAGCCACTCAGTGGTTCTCCTCCCTCTGTGGGGAAACCGAGTCATGACCTACTGCTCTGAGTTGCTTACAATGTACTCAAAATCCCAGCCAGCACTGAATCCTGCATCCTCTTGAGCATGAGGGACAGACAGCATCTGTGTTTATCTTTCACAACACCTAACATAGGCCCTTCATATCCCTTACACAGAGAAGCAAATCTGTTGATTTTCACCAACAGTCTTATCTACAGATCTCTTAATAACTGTATTTAAGTTTGTCTTTTTTTTTTTTTTTTTAATAAGCACAATTAGTTCACTGTGAGGTGATGACTATGGAGTGTCTCAGAACCTGTCAACATATTCAGCCCAAACCAAGGAATGGATTCATAATTATTCGTAGCAAAATAGATAGCCGATGTGATAATTCATTCTAAAAATTAGGTCAACTATCAACTAAATTTACTTCTTGATCCAATTTATGCCGGAAGTTATCATCTTTGCTAAGACACATCAGTAACTAGTCGGTCCTGGACTGTCCTCAGGTGCCATTAGTGATTTTTATTTATTTATTTAAAAAATTTTTGCTATATGGTGCATGGACTAGTAGAAGGATGCAGGGGAGAAAGGGAAATAGTACCCACCAGAGAGGATGGCCATTATCATATCCCTTCCCTTGGGATTTTGGGCATGCATACACCTAAGCTCAGTGTGTTTTTCAAGCTGCTGGGTCTGGGACTCAAACCTTCATGTGAGATCCAGCCGCCTTAACTACATCACTGGCTGGCCCCTTGGTGCCATTTAGGATTAGGTGGCCAAAGCCTTCCTTTGTAGGTCATATGACCTAAACTGTACTTCAAAAGAATTTTTTCTCCTCTTCCTTCTTTAGGTTTTTGCTACAGAGTACAGGTACTCACCGGAGGTGGGGGTGTGAGAAATCATCCCCCAGGGTGGACGGCCATGCTGTAATTCCTTCTCCTACATTCCCCTCTCAGGATTTTGGGCATGCATGCACAAATGCTTAGCATGATTTCCAAGCCACCAAGTCTAGGACTTGAACTGTGGTTGGCCATGTAGGAGTGCAGCGCTTTAACCACCATGCCACATGCTGGCCCCCTTTCTTCTCTTTGAATGGGTGAGGCACTTTAAGAGCTATCCACTGGAGTGTTTATTTGCCTGGTTGGCAACCTGTGATTTCAGAAGTTAATCCTAACCATTTCTCCTAAGTTGATTAAGTTTATAAGCAAGGTATGAAGGCCAGTATTGAGAAGATGATGCAAAGGTGCCCACATGGATATGGCTGGCTGGGCAGATGCACCTTCCTCCCTCATTGTGGGTCCGTTCCAAGTCTCCTAAATCCACGGAAACCAAGCAGCTGACTTCTTCCCAGGGCAGCTCCCATCTTCAAAGCATAGAGCCTTGGCTTTGGGGTCAGAGATGAGGCTTAAATCCCAACCCTGACTTGCCATGTACAAGCTGTACAAACAGACACGGTGTCCCATCTCTGTAGCTGTGAACATTCAATGAGTAAGACATGAAAAGGACCTTGTACATAGCTACTGCTTATTAAGTGCCTGCTTTTACAGATATGATCACTAGCCCTACCCTTACTAATAAAATAACAAAGCTCTGAGTTCTTACAATTTCTAAATGTCTTCATTATACAATTCTACTAAGAAATATCTTGTAGTATAAAAAAATCATATTATTAATATGGATTATTACTACTTCAATAACCTTGGTGTTTTTCCTCCTTGGAAAGTAATGACTTCTAATAAATCACCCACTGCTTCTTTTCACTCTGAGATGCCAGAAAACATAAAGAGAGTTGAGAATTGTAGAGTTCTATTATACTAAGGTCTACATTTAAGCTTACTATAAAAACACTAAACTTGCTGAATATGCTATTATTGTGGAGTCCTGAGACATATTAAATACTAAAGGAACTACTTTACCAAAGTACTTACATGTCAGACAACAAACAGTAAAATATCTAGGAAAGCCTAGAGGTAGGGAAAATTTAAAAAATCCAGATTCACCTTTTGAAGACAAACCTTGGAAGAGCTTATTGGAGGGCACAACCACATAAAGATTGGAAGGTAGAAAAGAGGCAAATACAAAAGGGATCTCTACATTTTCTTCAGTTATCATTTAGTGACCAGATATCTGCTCAAATCAAGCCTTCCACAAAAAGAAATAGGCTATTGTTTCCTTTGTGACATAGAGAGTTGGGTTGAAATTCAATTTAATAATTATATTATGGGTACTGAAATGGCACCTGAGCTATAACTCTGGCCTACTTAGGGAATTATTCCAGGAAACAGTCAGATGAAAAACCCACAGACATTCTGGTAATCATTGCAAACAATCATTTCTTTATTTTTGAAACTCAATCCCCCACACCCCTAAATACTTAGTATTTGAAAATTTTCCCTGCAAAATACAAATCTCCCTATACAATTGCCTCTAAGATTTATAGGGCCAGACAGTGGCAAAGTGGTCAAGGTGGTTGGCTCCCACATGATCAACTACACAGTTCAAGTTCCACACCGTGTGGCTTGAAAACCACACCAAGCATAAATGTGTATGAATACCCAAAATCTTAAAAGGAGAAATGAAGGAAAAGGGATTGTGTTATAGCCATCTCCCATGGGAGGTGCTTTCTCACTATCTCTCTCTGGTGAATGCATATACCCTCTACTAAAATTTAAAAATAATAATTCTGGATTTAATGAAAACATTTATCCCCTGCCTCCCTACAGAGGGATATGGGCTTCCAGTGATCTGGAAAGAAAATCCTTTTATAGGTGATATGCTAAAAAAGCCCTCTTACAAATGTTAGCATATTATCATTAATAAGCTGAAGCAGTAGTTACATTTTTTTCCAAAACTTTTTTTGAGAGTTTTTTTATTTTTTTATTTTTTTTTATTTTGCTATAGGGCACATGTGCTCGCTGGAAAGACATAGACAGACACACAGAAAGTGAGAAATCACCCCCTTGGGGGGATGGCCACGCTGCAATCCCTTCTCCTTCATTCTCCCCTTGGGATCTTAGGCATGCATGCACATGCACCCAGCATGAGTTTTAAGTCACCAGGTCTGGGACTCGAACTGCGGTCGACTACATGGGAGTCCAGAGACATAGACGTTATGCTAACTGCTGGTCCCCCAAAACTTTTTTTAAAGTCTACATGTAGAATTTGGTCATTTGCAAGTCTGTGATAGGGCAAATTGTTCCAACAATTTCTGAAGACTAAATCCATATGAAAGAGAACAAATAGTTGATCTTGTCTAGAAACTTCATTAACCCCTGAATTAAATAACAGTTTAAGCAACCTTTTTGGTTGTCTTTAAAAGGCAGTTGGCACCAGCAGGTGGTGTGATGGTTAAGGCAGTGTACTCCCACATGGCTGAGCATGGTTCAAGTCTTGGACCTGGAGGCTTGTTTTCTAGCTTTCTGTTTCTCCCTCTATCTCTTTCTGGTCAAAAATTTAAAAATAACAATAACAACAAATATAATTAAATAATTCTTAAAAAAAAAAAAAAAAGAAAAGAAAAGAAAAGAAAAAAAGGTGAGAAATTGGGAAAGAGCGGGGGGCCAGATCTTCTGCCCTAGAAATATAAAGGAACTGCAATGGTACACCACCATCTAGGTCACTCTACTTGGACATGCAAAACCAACATGTCTTTGCATATTTACATTATTTTAAAAGAGAGCAGGTGTAAGAATTTAAACATTAGGACCCTCATTCACAGAAGTAAAAAACTACAAATGAACAATGTACACCAATATCCCCAACTCCAAACACAGGCCTAAAACAAAAGACAGCAGCAAAATTCTTTACAAATACGTCCAAAGTAATTAATACTCACTGAAAGCAGAAAGTCTGTATTGCCAGAAAACAGCTACAACAGAGGAAAGGAGCTATTTTGTCTCTGGAATGAATTTTCTTCCTTCCAATTCCATTCCTTCCTCCTGTACCTAAGATGGAAATTCAGGTAGAGTGAACAAACAAAATCCAGGTAGTGCAGAGGTAAAGGTACAGTTTTTGAAATTTTACAACGCAGCAGAACAATTTCTGGAGAAACAGACAGCTACAGAACAGGCTCTCCTTACTTCAAAACATTTCAAACTCTAAATATTGGGCAATCGTACGTCCTGAATCACCTCATCCTTAGCGTCATTACCAAGAAGGGTGGACACTGAGGACCAAAGCTTTTATTAAACCTACACATGAGACACACATTAAAACTTCCACTCCTACCAATTTAGGTCAAAACTTGTTCTCAGGCCAGGATATACCATTTCAAGGCTCTCCGGTGGTTTGAGAATACAAACATACTCGCAAATCATCTGCAAAGTCAGTACTGAAGAATCACTGGACAGCATACCGGGGGTTGAGCACCCTGAGCACAAGTCATCTTGTTATGCCAGCAGATGAGAACTGTTGGTAATTGTCATACATCCTTACTCAGTCCCGCATAAATCTCTTCACTAACTCTTCCCACTCCCCAGTCGGTCCTAGAGAATTGAGCTCTTTCCAAAGATGTAAACAGGAGACTCCAGGCCCCACCCACTCTATCCTAGGAGAGGGCAGTGAAAGAGGATAGGCCCAGAGGGATAAGGGTGAGGGAGCGCGGCAGAGGCAGGAGTTCAGATCAGGACAGGGGGAGGAGGAGGGCAAGGAATGAAGGGCAAAATTCACAGCCTGGGCAGCAGGGAGGCGTAGAACCCCTGGAGTGTGAGGTAGCGGATTAACGGACGTGGGGGCTCCGGGTGGGTGAGGAAGGAGGGTCTAAGGGTGGGGCTGAGGAAAAGAAAAGAGGAAGAGGGGAACGCGCGCGTGAACAGAGTTAAGCAAAAGGACGCGACTGCGCGGGGAGGGCGCACAGGCTAGAGGTGAAAGGTGAGATGAAGGTGTGGGCAAGCAGAGGCCGGGCGACGCGGGTGGCGG